GGGGAGGGGGAGTAGAAGAAACATAGAAAAATGGATTCCTAAAAGTGCAAATAGCTCTTCCGACATTTGTCTTTTTGTGTGAACTGAAAATGTACAGTTTTTTTTCCTCAAGGAATATTTTTCACTGCAAGGGACTGCAGAGTTTCTGATCACTGGAAGCCTTCTTCCCTCTGCAAAATCAAGATTTAAAATCCTGCATTAGTCTAAACTGTGACAAAGGCTTAAAACAACTGAATTTCATAAAAATTAATAAGAAAAATGCAATAGCTTTGCATGTATGAAATTTATAGGCAGGATCAAATGAGTTTTACAAGAAGGAAATTTGATTACTCATGAGTAAAAATTCCAGCCATATGCAACTGCAGCTTAGTTGTGTCCATACATGAATATAGCAAGATGACTTACCATTTTAAAGAATTGAACACTCAAGGCAGTAATGAGACTTTTATCCCCACAGTTACCAGCTTCAAAGATCCAGGTTTTATTTCACATATTTCCACCTTTGCTCCTTATTATACAAATGGGTTTCCTTAACCAATAATATGTTCATAAACCAATGTTGCCAAAATCAGGAAAAATAATCTGATATGATCAACAGCTTTTTCAAACGATCAGGTATACATGAAGTTAGATACCATTACTGCGGCCCAGCATTGGAGAGACAGGGCTAAGGTCTAGAGATGGCTTCGATTTCACATGATCTTTCAGAAGTTGCTGAGATACACGATCAGCCAACACTGACTGTCCATCATAAAATTCCCTTGAGTCCCCATGGGCATGTCTTCCAAACTGCATTCCAAGAGCATCACTTTCAGATGACACTAAATCACGAAAGACCTGAGAACCTGGCTGCATTCCTCGAAATAGATCTTGTCTGGGGTCATGGAAAGTGGTGGAACCATTGACATACATACTGTTTGGGGACCTAGGCATGCTTCCAAATCCATCATGCATGTAAGCTGACTGCTTCAGATGATGAAATGGGATGGCACCATTTCCACCAGTGAGAGGTGTGGATGAGCCAGACATAGTATGAGGGCTGGATATCGGAGAAGGAGACATCCTTGGTGACCTTGAATGTAGAAGTGGGCTTCCAATAGGAGAAACTGGACAGGAAATGTTCCTTGGCATATGGCTATCACTGAAAATCAAAAGAAAGAAATGAGAGAAATACATAACTCCTCATGTAGATCTTAATACAAGCTGATAACTATCACAAACTTGACAATTTAAGTCTTAAGGTTTTCCTTTCTGATGTTCAAAAGAAAACTGGTCTGTTAATCAAGATAGCAAACACAAACAAAGACATTGACTGAAAACGACAACTCAAAGTACTAGAATTTAAAAAGCACATCATCACACATCATAATCTATCTAGCACCAAAAAGCCAACTACGTGAAACAACCAATTGAGACCTAACATTTGAAATTTCTATCACAGACCAGTGCTAAGTTGTTTAAACAAGACACGCACATTGCAATCTTCATCTTTCAACCTTTTTTAGGGGAGGGAGTTACAATTTCAGAGACAGACAGAAACAGAGAAATACCTGAATGTTGAACCATTTTTCACACCTCTGGACTGATGAACCCCCATTCCTTCTGAGTCCAAGGAGGAAAGGTTTCTTGCATGACCAACTCCCTGAAAGATGACCACATGTCACAGAATCAGCCAAAAAGTTCAAAATAAACCACACAAGCTGCAATAATCTCCACATGAATGTAAACACATGCAAGTAATAAGAAATTATATTTAAATGAAATATTAGATAACCATATTACTTAGCACAAGTTCCATGTTGTGAAGTTGCAGTAAACAGGGCATGAATTGCAGGAGGAAAAAAAAGGAAGTATTACTTAACTGCCCAAGTAGAAAATGTATAACATTATAAACAATGTGGAAACTTAGCGATTAAAAACTCTATAAAGTGAATTACTCAAACTAGGATGCATTTGATGGTCTAATCTCTATGACAAATAGCAAGGGTAGCAAAAGGAGGCAAATCTGTGGAAAACTAATTATTGAAGGGGATTACAAATTGGTTGTGGGATGGTTGTTAAGTAAGGAGGCAAATCTGTGGAGCTTTAACAATGAAAGGAAGAAATTTAAATGGCTCACACAAAATATGGAAGTGAGAGTTCAATGTGTCAAAAGGAGTGCAAATTCTTTTGATGATGCTCTTGCTGAAGAAGGGGTGGGTAGAGATCAGCTGTTTTGGGCTCAGTTGTAAAAAGAAGTCATGCTAGAATAAGAGAATTTCTCTCTTTCTCTCTGTTTTTTGTTTCTTTATTGTACTCTTGTAATCTGTTTTTAATTTTAATGAATTTTCAGTTACCAATAAATATATATATATAGATATATAGAGAGATAAAGATAAGGTCCAGTCTAGCCTAACATTTCATTTCTAATCCATTGTTTTTCTTAAATAGATACTATTTCCGGTTAAAAATAAAAACAGTTATGTATTCTCAAGGATGAAAGATGGTTTGGTGGGAGCTGGGCCGACCAATAAGTAAAAAGGATTTACAAAAGAAGAGGGGTTAAACTCAGATCTCTGAGTCTTGAGAACCCGGCCTGGAGTCGTCACTCTCCCAAAGGGGCTAGAAAGATATCCCCTACAGTGGATTCTCAAAGAGTGGAGTTGAAATAGTCTTATTATTAGAGAAAAAAAAAATCAGACTGATTCTAATTTGAAAGACGTTTCTGTTGAAGTGACATCAAGGAAATAAAGAAAAGAGGAGTGGACTTGAAGACTCTAGTTGACAAAGAGGTGGCAATCAGCAGGTCTTTGGGCTTGTTCCTTTTAGGAGGAGAGGAATTTGCTAGAAGAGCTTTTGAAGCATCTGAGAGAAAGAGGAAGGTTGAAAGCATGAGAAAGGTTCCTGAAGTTCTACGGGGAGAAATTTGGAATGAGGAAGGAGGCCCAGATGAGTTTGATGAGGTGGAAGATTGATCTGCACATAGTATCTGCTTGGCTGGAGTAGTAATTGTTGTTGTTGGAAGATTGATCTGCACACAGTATCTTCATTGATGTAGGCGGTTAGCTGAAGTTGTTGTTGTTGTGTGTAAAGGGTTTGGGGGTGTTATCGTAACACCTTTTTTTTTTCCTTTCTTAATAAAATTTTCTTGTTACTTATCAAAAATATAAAAATAAAAACAGTTATGGTTTAGTGCAACCCCCCTCCAAAAAAAAGTAATAATAAACTAAAATAAAAATAAATAAATAAAACAAAACAAAACGCATATCGTTTTGTGCATCCTTTTCACATGTACATCTTAACTCTCTTCTTATACAGTAATCGTTTTTCTAAAAAAACAGAACTTATGGTAAAGAGAAGTAAAGATAAGTAAAAAAAATACTATTACAAGAAATGGACCTACAATGCATTAACTCCTCGTTATAGCAGAACACACTGCTCCAAACAACTATGGAAACCCCAGCAGTCCTCTTCAGTCATCACATACTCGAGATGTCCTCTAAAATACCTTTGGTTGATAGGCAACAAGATTTCATTGAAAGAGAAAAGGGTCAGTGATTTAAAAGGCACGCCTCAAGCGCGCCTAGGCATAGTCCTTTCAAAAGGTGCATGCCTGGTGCACCTCGGCGTGTGCCTGATGCGCCTTGTGCCTTAGCCTAGGCATGCGCCTTTTGAAAATTTGCCACTTTTTTGCCTTTTTTGAACATAGCGTCTAGGCCAGGGGCTCCGCCTCCGGACCCCCCCATGCCACACCCCTTGAGGCAAGCCTAAACAAATCCACATTAGGTCTTAAATTCTTAGTTTTCACACAAAAAATAATGATTTTATAGTTTTACTTGCTTTTCAAGAAGACATTTTATTAGGATGAATGAATAAACAACATTACCAAATTGGGGGTTCGCTCGCTCACCGAAGCTCCGAGAACCCCCAATTTGGTAATGTTGTTCATTCATTCATCCTAATAAAATGTCTTCTTAAAAAGCAAGTAAAACTATAAAATCATTATTTTTGTGTGAAAACTAAGAATTTAAGACCTAACGTGGATTTGTACAAGGCTTGCCTCGAGGGGTGTGGCACAAAGGCGGCTCATAGAATCAGGAATGTAATATGTTTTACATTACATTAGCTATGTAAAGTAATGCAATTGAGTGAAAAAAGATATTAGAGATTTTAAATGCTTGAAAATGTTTTACATGTTTGATTTTATTTTTAAATTCTCATTTGGATATGCTTTACATAATTACATCTTATGTTTATGTATTTTAATTTTAGATAATAGGTTTTTTTAAATTTAAGTTTATATTTTTTTATTAATATTATGTTTAGTATTTTTTTTATAATTTTTGGCATTTTTTTTGAATTTTCTGACAACCTTGCTTCAAAAAGGTGAGCACCTCGCCTTGCACCTTGTGCCTTAGGCGCAAATGAACCCCTACGCCTTGTGCTTTTAAAACACTAAAAAGGGTATCTTCCCAATATGGAAACCCCTCTTCTTATATACTCATCTAGTTGAGTGGCACAACAGGGGCTCAACCGAAGCCAATGTTTGAGCCTTTTACATGGGGATCTGAGCTGCACAACAGTTGCCCTTACCATCGATGGTTGCATGGGAACTGGGAAGTGGTCGTTCAAGGCTTAGTTACTCCCTTGACAAAATCAAGGGAAATCTTGTACAGAGAACCGAACCAGAGGATTAGAGGTTCAACTGCGGACGTGGTATATATATATATGAGTCACATAAATACTATGTATTAAAGCAATATGTGCATTAAATATTCATAAATAAGCACAAATAATGAAGTGGATTAATGGTAACAAGTCAATATACAAAAAGGACATGGGTACAAATCTTATCATTTGCATTTTGAAAAATTCTAAACATTTGAGACCATAGTTTTCAAGGCGCCAAGGCAAGGCTAGGCAACAAAGGACGTCTAGTTGCCTAGGCGATGGATTTTTTTAAGTAAAACCCTAGATCCTAGGGTAGTTCCCTAGGTTCCATAACCATCTTTCCTTAATAATTATTCGTAATTTTCATAAGAAAGTATAAATTTCATGTTTAAGTCTAGAAAATCAACATTTTATGAGAAGAAAAAGAACAAAGTAAAGAAWATYCAAAAAATATARGGGYTGAACCCCTACTTTTGTTATAGGAAAGAAGAAAAGAAAAGGTGGAAGAAGAAGAAGAAGAAGACGTGGAAGAAGAAAAGGTGTTGATTAGACAAAATTTTAAGTCCTTCCCTTGCTCATAGGTTCAGGTTTTGAAATTTTTGAGGGTTCAATCAGGGATCAAAATTTTGATACGATATGCCCCGTATCGGGTGTATTATATTGTATCTTTGGGGTCCCAATACCTGTTTACAGGTGTTTTCGGGGACCCATTTTTTTAAATAATATATATTTAAAAATGAAATTGAAAACCAAAGAAATAAAAAAATAGGGGGAGTATAGTTAAAAGTACCGATGCACCTCTGCCAATACACAGAGATGTATCGATACTGTGAACCATGGGTTCAATACAACAGTTAGCAATGTTTGCATTGATTAAACCCTAACAAAATAAGAAAATAATAAAAAGAAATTAGTATATAAACACATGAAATGAATATTCTAGTTTAATAATGTCTATTTTATAATTATAAAGTCAAAAAATTAAAAATCTAAAAGTATTTTATAACCCAGTGCACAAAACGGCTAGGCAACTGGGCAAGGCGAGCCTCCAAGGGCGCCTTGTTGCCTTGACAACTATGTTTGAGACCCAGGCAGTTTTAAGAAACCGAGACCAGTTCACCGGTTAAACCGGCAGACTACCCGGTTTTAAGCAATTTTCTACATAGTCCGGTTTCTAGGATACAACCAAACCGGACATAGGTCTAAGCCACAGTTCAACTGGTTCGGCCCAGTCCAGTTTCCTAAACACTGGTCCACGCAGAGTCCTACTAAGCAGAACTTTACCACCAATATAGACAAATTTGATAGAATTTTTTTGTAGTGACAGATCCTGAAATGAGTAGAGTTCTTTTGGTTTGGGAGGGTTGCAGCATTGATCTGTCTGGCCCATGTTCTGTATACTGCTTAAATCCTCTTATACTCATTTTTTCTTGCTAGAGGCAAATAATACAAATATTACAGTTATCCTTCTCAAAAAAGAAATCAACCAATTTTCTTTTGTTTCTTTTGATTAACTAATCAATTCCTCTTTCTTTATTGATTTCAGTCTCATCAATCCCACATGTCACTCTGAAGTAACATACCCGTGCAAAAATAAATAAATAGTCCCATTCTGCGAACAATATATACAGGATGCACAAGAACTAAAATAAAAGAACAGCCCAGTGCAAAAGGCTCCCACCTCCCACCAATGCACAAGAATTAAAATTATTCCACATGCCAAAGTAGATGTGCAACAATGCTCCATTATTATGTCATATGAATGTGGAACTGTACCAAAGTCAAAATGAAAGGTAACTAGTGGAATTTAGGTAAGCAGAATCATGTTCATACCGGAGATCTCACTACATTTGCAACTCCTGGAGGTGCTTCTGGAGGGTCCAGAATAGGTCTTTCCAGTGGCGCTGCATTTTTCACAAAAGGATGCTCTAAAAGCTTAGTAGCTGTAGGACGATCTTGCGGATTGCGTTGCAAGCATTGCCTTAAAAAATCTTTGCCCTCATCTGAGAGATGATCAGGGATTGCTGGAAGTTCCTTACTATTCCCAATCTTAAACATAGCAGCAACCTTTTGACCAGAAGAAGCAAGATGTTAATTATTAATACAGTAAAAGAACATGACAAACCCAATCTCTAAAATCCAAGCATTGTTAGTGAGATCTGTATTTCAGTTAGAAAGAAACAAGTTGACACAATTAACAAATTCAAGAGCAAAAGAAATATAAAATCATATACTGATACTAAAGTTACTTACCCCTTCATATTGGCTCCAAGGTGGTTTTGTTGTAGCCATCTCCAGAACAGTACACCCAAGACTCCATATATCAACAGCAAGATTGCAATTCGCATTCTTAATAACCTGGATGACAATGAAAGTGAGAAGGGCTACAACAAGGTGTCAGGAACCAGGACATAAGGAGCAACAAGGAAAATGCCCTGACCTCAGGTGCCATCCAGTAAGGGCTTCCCTTAAATGATAAAGGACATGACTGCCCAGCAATCTGCAAATATAAAGCGCTAGTGAGATTTGGCATGAACAGGAATGTGAAACCTGAAAATACAAGTAAAATGGATTTCATGCATATGGTATTATTCCTTTCCCCATCAAACATCTCCACAAGTAAACACCCAATCACTAAAACTAACAAGTAACTTGTTAATCAACACCTAAAACCTTCCATTTACACCAAAATTAACTAAGAAACATACAATTTAATTTAATCAACTTAGTTGTCAAGGTGACACCTAGGTGGATCACCTTAAATTAAAGAAAACAGGACTCCACCCATGTTCTTCTCTTTTTCTTTCTAACTTGAATTTTATCATATAAAAAAATGGTATATGAAACAAGGAACTAGGCAAATTTTACTTTTTTACTTTATGAAATCCTATCACCTAAGCAACTAAGCACCCCACTGACACCAGAACTGCCTAGCTGCCTTGACAACCATTAATCAACTCTTTATCGCCTTTCATTTACAAAATGTCACTCTATGCAGTTCAGAAACCAACTTACATTTGCAGTAGACACTTTTTTTTAGAAATAGGCAAAGTAACTTTTATTAAAAATCAGATAGAGTACAGCAGGCCCACCAAGGAAAGTACCCTGGCCGAGCACGATCAGCAACAATACAATAAACTATAGCTCCCACAGACTTCCAGACCTCAATACAGCCACCAGATTATGCTGCTGAAACCCCTTGGCAGCTGAAACCCAGGATACCAGCTTCCCAAAAGAAAAGGAAATTAATTCCTCCACTTCTTTAGAGGTCTTCTGGAAAAGCCTGTTTTTTCTTTCAGTGCAGATTGTGCTGATCACAGCAGCCAGAACAGAGAACCAAATACTGCTTGCAATCTTTGAAAGACCTTGAACTTCCCAGCCCCAAAGAAGGTCCAAAAATGTGTTAGGTATAGCCCAAGCCACTCCCAGTGCTGAAATATAGTGCCAAACCGCCACCATAGATGGAAGGCAATAGAGCAATGGAGGAACAGGTATTTGTATCCTCCAATGCCTGCCTACACAGCATACAAATCTGGTCAGCAACCTGCACCCATCTTCTGAACAGATTTGATTTAGTTAAACATCTATTCAGAACAGCAGCCTACACCAGAATAACAGGTGAGTTGCAATACACTTTTGCTGCCCATGTTTCAAACCCCTCTTGATGATAATCCTTTAATTCACCTAGTTTCTCTTGTGGTGATAAGTAATCATTCAATAATTCTAGTTTTAAATGCATAGGTTGGTTTTTTTTTAAGTTTTGTTGTACATTTAGGGAGTGGAGGAGAAGGATAAGCAGGAATAAAAGCTTACATGTTTTGCCATTCCAAAATCTGCTAACTTCACACGTCCATTGGGGTCTACAAGTATATTTGCCCCTTTAATATCCCTGTACATCCATTAGGATAAAGTTACTGAAGCTGTTCTTTTGTTTACCAAATCAACAAAGAGCACTAACTACACTGACCTATGGACATGGTTCTTAGCATGCAAATATGCAAGGCCCGAAAGTATCTGCTGAGTATAACTACGAATTGCTAGTTCACCAAACTGTCCATAGTCCTGAAGAAGCTTATAAATAGAACCACCAGATACATACTCCAAGTATATATACATTTTATCATCTACCTGTTCAAGAATAAATGTTCAAGTTCAGGTGAATAAAACACTCTGATACATCGAAACAAATTGGAAAGAATTCAGAGAAATTAGTAATAACAAAAATTAGTCTTTCAGGACATGGTAATAGCAAATGGGCCATCCAACTGCACATTGTTTGCAATGAAGTTCAACCGGCAATAGAAAAGACAAACAATTCAACATGACACGATATCCAGTAGCAAGCTAAAGTAAATAAAACAATTTGAAGCATCTAACCAAATAGGAAATAATTCAGAAATATTAATAATAACAAAAGGAAACCTTTCAGAACATGGTAATGGCAAAAACGAGAAACTCAACTGCAAGTGCTTGCTATAAGTCCAACTAGCAATTACAAATATAAACAATTTACTGTGACACGATATCCACTAGCAACAAAAGGAATATATATATATACATATATAGTAGTTGAAATTTGAGGCTAAACATTGCATTTCTAAGAAAATTTCAACACATAACATGCATCTCAATTAGCCAAATTGAGATGACTACATGTTGGCAGGGAGAAAGCGAATAAGAAACAAAACCAAAGCACAGATTCTGGTGTGCTTCAACGACAGAATTAGGATGAGAAAGCAAGGTTATTGTTATCCAGTACTTCTGTAAGAATTCTCTATAAGCACTCTTTGGAAGGATAATTCAGAGAATGTCACATTAACTTTGAGTATGCAAACCCCACATATGTGCAAGCACACTAATTGGCCTTCAGTTTTCAAAGACTTCGCCAATAACCTGTTAGTTCAATTCAATCTCTGAATGTCTTTGCCTTTTATGATTTACCTTGTTGTAAGATCCTAGAACTTAAGTATAATGGTCATCAATCTTGATTCTATATCTCAAGACTTCAGAAAACAAAAGTTGCACCATCATTAAAGATGGTATTCAAAATGTATTCACAAGATTTTTACAACAGTTAGCATTACAGGTCCTAGTTAAATGATAGTTTTCACAGTTTGGACAGATTAACCAGCAGGTTAACAAGTAAAACCATGACCCAGTGAGCATTGTGGTTTTCTATATGGTCCAAATCTGATAAGATTGCCCTGGATCAACTCAGGTAACCAGAAAAACATCACTAGCATGACCAGCAATAACAAGCCACCCAATCATATAGGCATCAGCCCATTCAGTGGCAACCATCAAATTGTGCAGCTCTACGAATCAAAAGCATCTACCATCCACTTCAGAAGTCAAGCTGCTCATGGCCAATATTTCAATTGCTCAATAGATTACATCATTTTCTGATCCAAGGTAAACAAAATAATGAATGATCTCACAAAAACAAGTATCAGAACTCACCAATACTTGCAATCGAAAAGGCTTATATACCTCAGATGCCAAACTAGGGCTTTGTTGTTATTGCAAGTTGATGCCTTGATGGACATGGTTTTGGTGCACTAGATTTCAAAGGGTTACCTTGAACTTGAGATTCCAAGTTAATAGATATGGTTAAATGGAAAGAGGATTTTCTCTCCTTGGTTAAAGGATTGAGGTTAAGGTTTGGTGCTGGACCTCCAGTGTGATAGAGTCCAAGACAGAGAGAAGAAAAGGGCCAAAATCAAATAAAAAGAAAGGATAGGGAAGGGGAGGGTGGATTTGGTCAAGAATCCAAGATAGGGTTAAGTTTTTATGTATTATTTTGTGAGAAGTACGTACCCAATTTGGTATTCATATTAAAATTCTTCGCTCCGATAATGCCAAAGAGTACACCTCAATACCATTTCAGCAATACTTAAAGCACCATGGGATAATTCATCAAACTTCCCCACAACAGAATTGTGTAGTTGAACGGAAAAATCGACATCTCCTTGAAACTGCTCGGTCTTTGATGCTTAATATGAATGTCCCAAAGCATTTTTGGAGTGATGCTGTCCTCACACCCTGTTTTCTCATCAATTGGATGCCCATGTCCATCCTTGGAAGTCAATCCCCCTTCTCGGTGTTGTTTCCCACCTTGTCTCCGTTTCCTCTCACCCCAAGAGTCTTTGGATGTGTTTGTTTTGTTCAAAACTYGGGGCCTGGTTTAGACAAGTTAGATGCACGAGCTACTAAGTGTATCTTCCTTGGCTACTCAAGGACTCAGAAAGGGTATAAGTGTTATAACCCTAACTTCCATAAGTCATTTGTGTGCTCCAATATCACCTTCTTTGAATCAGTTCCTTTTTTCTCGGATACTATGGTTTCTTATCCTTCCCCCGTAGTTCCTCTTCCCATCCCTGTTGCGGATCCCCTTCCCGTGGTTCCCATTCCAGTTGCAGATTCACCTCCCGTGCCAATTACTACTGAGAGGCCACCAATCAGACAAGTGTATACTCACAAAAGAGCACCGGCCCCTCCTCCAATTCAACCCTCGTCGACAAATCCTATCATTGCTTCTTCTCCCTTGGACATTAATCTTCCTATTGCCCTGCGGAAAGGTAAACGCACTTGTACTTCTCATCCTATTTCACACTATGTTTCAGCTGCTCACTTTTCTGCTTCTCATCGCAACTTTATATCATTGTTATCATTTGTTTCCATTCCCAAGACTGTCCAAGAAGCCCTTACCTCCCCAGGGTGGCGACAAGCTATGGAAGAGGAACTCTCTGCTCTACAACACAATCACATGTGGGAACTCACTGCTCTTCCTCCTGTTAAGCACGTTGTTGGGTGTAAGTGGGTCTACACAATGAAGTATCTTCCAGATGGCAATGTGAAGTGATTAAAGGCCAGGTTAGTGGCCAAGGGCTATTCTCAGTTGTATGGTGTGGACTATATGGAGACATTTTCTCCTGTGGCTAAAATTGGATCAGTTCGGGTGTTGATTTCATTAGTTGCTATGTATGATTGGCCTCTTGTGCAACTTGAAATAAAAAATGCTTTCCTATATAGTGATCTCATTAAGGAAGTGTATATGAAGCAACCGTCAGGGTTTGTTGCACAGGGGGAGGATGGTAAGGTTTGTAGACTCAAAAAGGCAATTTATGGACTGAAACAGCCTCCACGCACATGATTTGGCAGGTTCAGTGAAGTAGTGAAAGATTTTGGGATGAAATAGTGTCAGGTAGACCATTCTGTGTTCAGACACGACTCAAAAGATGGGAAAATCTTGCTAGTGGTGTATGTGGATGATATTGTCATAACTAGGAGTGACAGTAATGGGATTGACAGGTTGAAGAAATTCCTACAGGACCACTTTAATACGAAAGATTTGGATAAGCTGAAGTACTTTCTAGGAATAGAAGTTGCAAGGTCAAGGCATGGAATTAACTTATGTCAAAAAAAATATGTTCTTGACCTACTTGAAGAAACATGACTATTAGGTGCTAAACCAGCAGAGACTCCTATGGAACTTAATGTCAARTTGAGTGTTGATGCAGGTGAAGAGTTTGATGATCCTGGAAGATACAGGAGGTTGGTGGGAAAGTTGAATTATCTGACTATTACCCGACCAAATATATCATTTGTTGTGAATATGGTGAGTCAGTTTATGCAACATCCTCGCATTCCTCATTGGGAAGCAGTTCTAAGGAATGTTAGGTACCTGAAGGGTGCTCCAGGTCGTGGTTTGCTATACCAAAGTGGAGGGGCTCTTGAAATAGTAGGGTATACAGATGCTGATTGGGCTGGTTCTATATCASMCARGAGATCAACTAYAKGRTATTGYACCTTCCTTGGTGGCAATCTTGTAACTTGGAAGAGCAAGAAACAAACAATGGTGGCAAGGAGTAGTGCAGAAGCTGAGTACAGAGCTATGGCGCATACCACATGTGAACTAGTATGGTTGAAGAACTTGTTACAAGAGATGGGGTTCTCAGTTGACAAACCCATGAGACTATACTGTGATAACCAAGCTGTTATTCACATCTCTTCCAACCCAGTCTTCCATGAGAGAACCAAGCATATTGAGGTCGATTGTCACTTTGTGAGAGAGAAAGTGATAAGTGGAGTGCTAACCACATCTCATGTGAGCTCAGGAAATCAATGGACAGATCTCTTTACAAAGGTATGGTCTCGGGGCAAAGTAGATTATATTTGTGACAAACTGGGACTATATGACATATACTCTCCAGCTTGAGGGGGAGTGTTAGAGTACACAAAACAGGGGTATTTTGGTCATTTCGGTTTATCAATTTGAGAGTGAAAGGTCTGTTTTATTTAAGTTTAAGTTATGTGTCCCATCACTTATGAAGGACAATATGGTCTTTCTTGTAACTATGTTATTGGAGATAAATACAAGTGGGTCGACTAGAGAGAGGACAGATTTTCCTCTACTGGCTGAACCCTTCTTCTTCTTCTTCTTCTCCTTCTTCTCTATTGTAACCTAGGACTAAATAAGGTTCACACATATGATGCATAATGCACATACATACTAATGTTATTGGATTCAAATCTTAATTAGATTGGAGTGAATCCAGATTTGTTCCAATTAAAAACAGATCTTATTTTCAAGAACAAAATCCCAGTTTAATCGGATCAAATTTTGAACCCAGACTTAGATAATTAGGTACCATCGTCAGCCCAACATGTAATACACTTTGTGAAATGGTAATAAAATGCAATTTGTCAAGCCTGTTACTAAAAAAAATAAGAAATAAGTAGTGATGGATGTGTATTACAAATGCATTAATGAATACAAAGACAGAACAGGAATTGTAAGAAACGAAAAGGAACAGCACATACCATCTCAGTCCCATAATACTGCACTATATTTGGATGTCGCAAGCGACTCAGAAGAGAAATTTCCTGTTATAATAACTCAAGAATTACCTTAAAAGTGACAGAGCATTTCATATGGCAACAATAATGTTCAAGGAAGAAGAAAATCATCTTCCAGATGAACAATTTCTCAGAGTCATCATCACCATTAAGGAAAAATATACATACTTGCATCAACTGCTTTGCACTTTCCCTTGACTTGGCATCATCAGAAAATAGTGTAACCTCCTTCATTGCACACATCTCACCGCTCTCACTAAAAGCAACAGAAATCAAGGAATCCAGAGTAAGAGAAGCTGACAATGAATGACTTTCAGAAAACAAGACCAAAGCAATATTAATTGGTATTAGTAATCGCAACCAATAAAATACTTAAAATATGAAAGAATGGATATCCTGAGCAGAGTAGAACTACTGCAATGAACTCTGCATGCTAAGGAAATAGAAATATGAAATTAGAAGGTAGAACGCAATCATGAATCCCACCTGTTAAAACCAACATAAACATGGCCAAATGTTCCTCTGCCTAGCAGCCTTCCCTTCTTCCACCGTGAACCAGGGCTTGTTGGATTCTCTGCCCTCCCTGGGCTTCGTGGGACTGAAGGAGACATGCATGCTGCTGAAGTTGTAGGAGTAAAAGGAGAAGAATTGGAAATTGTTATAGGAGGAAGAGGCAAACGGTGACTTTGCTGTTTTCCATCATCTTGCCAGCTTGTTGGTGATTCTATGGCTGCACCTCCTGCCCGTGGATGCAGGGGAGTAACAGCACCACTGTGAATTCGTGAGCTAGGACCAGGACTTGTCATTCTGGGACTAGGTATTGGAGAACACTCAGGGCTGCCCCTGCTGTGCTGCCAAAATAACTGTCCAGACAAATCTGCTCCCATTGAATTATGTCCAGAATTATGACCCGAACCTGGACTAGAGCAGTGGCCAGAACCACCAAATGCAACATCACCAAAAGGTTTTCCTCCCCAAAAAGCAGAGCTTGTCATCTGGTCAGCACCAACTACTCGCATAGGACTTCTAGAAGGGCTTGACAATGAGCTGTCTGGAGCACTCCCGAAAGCACCATGATGTGGGATCTGTAAATTTGGTGCATAAGAGCTCAAGGGCCCCCTTTTAGGTGATGTAGAGAGTACTTGATTATTGAACAATGGGCTAACTAACTTTGGCACCTCTCTTGAGCCCTTTCGATTGTAGGTAAGAGAATGATCCTTGTGCATCAAACTTCAGTAAACAAGATAAATTGTTAGGGATCAATCCAAGCATAAAGGAAATGAGGAAAAAGGTGACTAAACAACACCCAATAGTTTCATATGTAACCATGTTGTACTTCACAATGAGAGCCTTATTAGGACATTACAATATATAGTAAATTCAAATATCGGGTTACCTGGAAGGACTGCTCAAGGCAGTTTTTGGTCCATTTTCGTTGTCAATTGCCTGGGAACTAAGAAGACGTGAATCAACTGGGTCATCACTATCAATTGAGCAATCACTAGAAATTGATGCAGTAGCCAGATCTCCATCCACATCTGTCACATCTGGCCTGTGTGGAATACAACCAGGTTTAGGGAGGGTATGTAATGAATGCTTAGCATATTTCTCCAATCCTGGTTTTGTTATGCTGATCCCAGAATCTGTGCGTCCAATGCTTGCAGGGTGCAACCCAGGGAGTGGAAGTGGTTGTGCAAGAGACCTTTCTGCAAAACTTTGACACCGTGATACTTGTGTGGAGGGTGATTGTGATCTTGACTCCACTCGGGATAGAGATCCCTTTTCAGAAACCACATCACTGCTATGTCTTCGAGACCCACATGATCTGCTGTTACTTTTTTCTTCAGAAGGAATTTTAAACTTACGATGTAATGTATCAATAAAACTTTCCTTGTGTGTTTTCTTCTTTACTTCTTTAGATAAAGACTTCCCCCACCATGAAGGCATGTTTTAATAAAAAAAATGAAATAATGGATATGTTGTCCCAACTTCAACACTCCAAAGTTACAAAAAGAGGGTGAGTTACTTAGGCCAAAATGCATACACCAGGTCAAGAATCAAAGTTAGGATTAATAAGATGATGAAAAGGTTTGCTCAACAGTATCCTCCTCAACAAAATCAGCACCTTTAGGCAGCTGCACCTATCAACTTCAGAACACCATTCAGCACCATGAGAACATTGTTCAGAAAGAGTGGGTGGTAGCAACCTGGTAAGAAGTTCAAAAACAGAAAACAACTATAAGTTGTCCTTTTTTTTTGAGAAGAGAGAGAAATCAAGAGAGTAAAGTATGCTGTATTGATTTTGTAAACTGAGATGCTGTACATGGGGTGAGGCTTTTTCCCAAGAGTAAATCTTTGCTAATATGTTGTGTACTACTTCATCTATTTGAGAGGATTAGCCCAAGAGAATCTATAAGTTGTCCTATTTGCTTTTTCATAAAAATTAAATCCTACATAGCAAAAACAAATATAATTTTAGCTATGTTAAATTCTACTTAAGTTTACCAGCAGAAGAAATTGTTGCAGAATTCAGGTGCACACAAACACAGGTTCATTCCCTCTCATGGTTGAGAGCAGCGGTTTGTTGATATGTTAAGTTGATTTAGTAGAGGACTAAAATATGTGTAAATATGTTAAGCTAAATAAAACATAGAGGACTAAAATAAGTTGATTTAGATTTTTTTATCAGCAATACAGAAAAGATTCATTAATTAGAAATAAGTTGATTTAGGTTTTTTTTTATCAGTATAAGTTGATTTAGATTTAGGTATGAAAGAAGAATTGGATTGCATATGCATGAACAGTACATATCCAGCACAAATTAGAATGAGCATAGGTGCAGAGAACATACACCATCCAATTGGTGGACCACATATTATATGGTTATAGACCCAGATCAACATTTTTTTTAAGATAAAATAAAATTTTTTTAAAAGGAAAATAAGAAAGTTACAAGAAAATCAACAAATATGAATAGCCCAGTCAACATGATTGCTTGACTACCTTCTTATCATTAACACTTTAGTAGCTAACAAAGTTCTAACCTTGATAGAGTGGTTAGTTAATCTTATCAATACACCACAGACTTTCTGGGCTAAAATTAATAACATTCACAAGTTCAAAGACGTGGATATGGAAGGTAGTAGTATATGTATACTGTATGGATCACACTGTATAAGATCCAAGTGGCAACACTCTTTCCCCAATTAAACACAGGATTGCTGTAGTTGACCTGACCCCTTATAGTTGGGACAAGGCATAGATGATGATGAACTCATCATTGACTTTCCTAAATGGTACTGATATTTCAATTCTGACATCCTTCAGATGTCATATATTAAACAGATATTGATGGATAATTCTCAAAGAGAACTTTAACAGAACCAATTTTTTCGTGAAGCAGTGCATAATGCAGAAGCCATTGGCCCATATAAACCTAAAGATTCCACAGAGTTTATGAAACTGCATTTGATTTAACAAAGAAAAATATTGCAAGGAAAGATGATAGAATTGAAATTACAACAAAATAATGGCATTGTCTGTACATTTAGTTAAAATGGTGCTCATTTCCATCAAGCTTTGGTATAGCTACAAACTTACCAGTCAAACAAAAAAAAATATAGATGCATTGAACTTGGAAATACAAATTGTATTACTTGAAAACAAAAGTGTGAATTAGTATATTCAAAAATAAAAGTTTCATTATACTTGAAGCAAATAAAATTTTACTAATTTAGTAGCACCATGGCTAAATAGGTATAGGTCACACCACTGCTTGAATTTAATAATAAATAAAACATTAAAAAGAAAATGCAGTTAGAATAAAAGGTGAAAGTTTTCACCTTAGGCACAACAACGTTTTCCTCTCTCAGTTTTTTCTCTGAGCACTAGATATTTCAGAATGAAGATTGAAGTGAATCCTAATGAGTAATTTCTAAAATAGAAACTTTTAGATGATCTTCCAAGTTTACAGAACACCCTGGTTCCGCCAAATTTCAAGCTGACAACCCCATTTCCTGTGAAAAGGGTTAAAGGAAGAATCAACCAAAATCTCTTCAAGTTACTGAATCAAATTAATTAACGTCACCTAGAGAACACCCCCCCCACACACACACACACAAAATAAATAAAAATAAATAAAATAAACTTTAAGAAGGTCCGGAAAGCTTTACTTGGATCCAACTAAAACCGCACCACCTTGCGTCAACTTGTTCTTTTGGTTTGTAGACAAGAGTTGAACTGTTGACAGCAAGGTAATGACCATGCAACTAACACGCTTAACTAAGTTAAGGTCCCAATATCTCACTCTATATAATTCTAGCACATCTCAGTGCCATGAATAGGTGATATATTTACTCCCGTACAACACCAATCACGAACCAAGCTCTTTAGCATCTTGATATCCACATTCCTTGTTTGCTTAACCAAATGTCTGCGAAAAAAGAATCACTCTGTGATAAATTCAGTATCCGCTTCACTTTTCTTGTTCGTTGAGTGCGAACATTGCCACCAATCATGATCTTTAACCAATTCACAATTATGTTTCTTTCTATAAAATACGTTAACTCAAAAGACCAAGACTTCAACCTGCTCATCCACAATCGAGAGCTCGATTTGATTCTTTTACTCATTGCCCAAAAAAAAATCCGATCTCTATTACCCATTCCATTCCACTTTACCACATAGTCCACAGCAACATTGAAAACCAAAACGAAAATTTTCCACACAGATCTAAGAGTTAAAGCTTTCGTCGCAAAAGCTTAACTGAAGATGCAAAAGGAATTATAAATTTAAATTGCTGGAAACATATCTATTAAAATTAAAAAAAAAAAAAACTCACTCTACTACTAACCTTAGACGCTACGGCTTCAACGAAACTCTTGAAAGAGAACAAATCATTTTAAACTACCGACAATTCGCAAGACTGTAATTTTCTCCGAATTGAAGAACCAAACAGGGCCAAATAATCATGGAAAGGGCCACCAACATCCTGGGAGCTCAGAACCCTAACAAAACCATAAGTTAACCTTGCAAATCGACTGTAATTGCTCTCAAATCCATCGATTTTGTTTTCTTTTAGTCCAGCTCAGAAGAGCAAAACCAAACCCTAGAAATCTAAAATATGAGTAAATGCGAAAGGAATATAAAGGCCTTGCAGAATTCGAAGCGCTGGTTCAAGAACAGAACTTGTAGAGAAGGAGATGGGGAGTTCTGAGCAGGAGAAAAGGAATCGAATGTGTAGACATAGAGAGAGAGAGAGTATTGTAATAGGGACAGAGTATGATGTCTGATGAGTTGAGAAGAAATGGAGTTGTCCGAGTGTTGATTTTATTATATTGTAATAGATAAATTAATAAATTATTCATAATTAAATAATTATTATCACTTAATTAAACGGACAGATAAGAAACCGATAGGTCCGCTATCGCCTTATGGTCTACGCAATTTCTTTCTATGAAATGTCACCTATGCCCGATTTCCTAGTTCGTTCGTCTTTTCACGAAATCCCAAGCATGCCCCTGGTTGAGCTCCTCGTTTTCCTAATTTGTTTGTTGCTCTTTTCCGTGGTCAATGATACAGTGTGGAACACGTATAGGAGTTCTAAATGCAAGTGACTCTAGAGCCGTTGTATTGAATTAAGTTGACCGTCAAATTTTGGCAACGGCAAGTGTAGGGTTGTTCTATATAGTCAGGCAGTTGTAAACAGTGAGTTGCAATTGAATTTCTTTGGTGTTGGGTTACGTTATCATTCTCATCTTGGAAGTCAACAGCCGTCGCACAGATCTCCGAGGTTAAGGTCAAGGAAAACGTATAGATTCTAGAAACATATTTTCAAGGGTCTCACCTTTTTCTACAAGGAAAACAATTGCATAACTCGTTGCTTGCTGACAATTTATCTAGTAAACACCCCCAATAGGCAGCAAAGCTTATGCAACTCTGGATGATTTGCCATCTGTGCCTAATTTTATCACCATGCTCATAGGGCAAAAGAGTCCAGGGAATTGCATAAAATCTTTATTACTTATTAAAATTCTTGATGAAGTATAAGGTAGTAGCGCTAGGCTGCTAGCACTCCTTCACATGTTTGTTATATAAAGGCTGCATTTTCATTTTTCACATTCCAAGTTCTCTTTTATGAGCATGCATATCATGCGTGGTTTTGCCTCTGCCGCCTGCACCCTCCTTATTCAGTTTTTCTATTGGGGACTTTTGGTTTGATGACAACTGACAACACAAGCAATTTCTACTTTCTGCCATCAGTAGTCACTTTTTTTCTCTCTCAAAATAGCCCTACTTTATTAAATATTAAATAAAACATGACCAATTTGAGGATTTTCCAAAGAGAGAATGTCACTGCTTTCAACCTAATATCAATTTACTTAATAATTAAATAACCTCCTCATCAGCACTTCAGCTGTTATCACAAACAGCCCCTAATATTATATAATGCCGAAGTTGGGATTAAGGGTAGAAAAAGGGGGGTGTTTGTCATATTAAAAATGATTTTTTTTTCATATTACAGTTGTTTTTGTTATAAAAATAATAATAAATAAATGTCTCTCTATAAAATTCCATTTCTAAGGTTACCCAATTTTCAGAGGAGTCTTTTTACGTTTGGTTGTTGGAGGCGTCTAGTCATCTGAATTCCATGGATGTAGAGAAGGAAAAAGGCAAGTGGAAGTTCTCGGATGATGTGGTCCAAGCTATGCTGTTGTGGGGGACTGGATCCGGTAGTCATAACATAGGAAGCACATTCAGTGAGCATTTTGTAAATATTCTGACAACTGTTAAAAAAATTTAGTGTCTTTAATCTTTTCAAAAGTAGGTTGAGGGTATTTCAAGGGACAGGTGTAAAAAAATTTTTGCTTACAATAATGTGCCTACCTGACCCGGACTCCTGTCGTGGGCCATATACACTAAAGCCTAAGATATATATTGTGCCCATGTTAAAATATATGAAACTTGAGTCATATCTTAGTCTAAAGTTCGACTGGCCTTCAACTGCATTTGGCATTCTTTGTTTTAAGGACTTATTTCCTTTTTGCAGTTAAAATGCTCTTATGAACACTGAATTTTTAACAACAAAAAGGAGATAAAATAAGGAATGCCAAATGCAGCCTTAAATAACAAGTTAGGTGGTTTTTGTTGATATAATAATTGTTTTTGTTTTGGAAAACTAATTTATATATGTTGCCAAACATCCTCTGATGTCCCACTTTAATATATTCTAATAAAGTTTGACCAAAACCTGAATCATTAGTAGCCTAACACTCATTCCTCTCTATCTTTTAAATTAGCAAGTAAATCCATGCAAATGCACGGGGTTGAATATAATTTTGGTTAAGTTTGAGTTGGAAATTTTGTATTTTGGAATTAATTTGGGTTGAAGTAAAGTTCTATGTACGAGATTGGTCTTGGTCTAGCTCTTAACTCGACTACCCAATTCATGGGTTGGAGAGTCAAAAGGAGTTCTAAAAGTTCTAAGAGAAAATAAAACTATGTTTAGTTTGGGAATCATGAAGTTGAGGAAAAGTGAAGCATCACATATGAGATTTAATGTGAAAGAATAGATTTTACAAACATGCATTGGCTATTTGGGGAGAAAGAAAGAGAACTTCATTAGAGAGAGTACTAAAGGATTTTTATCCGAAAAGATTAGAATTTATATATCTTAATAATTTAATTAAAAAACCCACATGTTAGAGAAATTAGAGAAAAAAGGAAATTACTCTATTAAGGTTTCTCTTGGTATTATATGTTACACATTATTGGGGGATTAAGGAATAAGGTTGGACTATAACCAATCAACCATTATCATGAAAATGGTAACCAATTAGGTCATATTCATCAAAATTCAAAAGATCATGTCTTTCTGGCATCGTTGTGGGTACATATGGCGCACATAAGGCCTATCGTGGGTACATATGGTGCACACAAGGCCTACTTACATTACCACAAAGAGCGTACAGTTATAGGCATTTTGGAAGACTCCATAGCAACTGTTTCAACCAATGTTTTAAAAATCAAAATCAATTTGGAATTAGAACCATTTTGGCCACTCGTTTGTAAGTTAGCGGTTCAATCATCCGTTTTGAAGATGGATTATTCTAAATTAAAAAAATAAAAAATAAAAAATCATTAAAATAAAAAGGCCAAAAAATGTTGTCCTAATTGAATGCGTCGACAATTTGACCACTTGAGTCAATAGGTCGTTGATGTGGCATAATCCGGCTACTCCTTGTTGGAGGTAACATGGTTTCCAGCGTCGATGAGGACGGGTTCCTGAAAGAGGGGAGCTCAGAGATCCCGGGGTGACTCACCCGCCGTGGATACTCCGATGACTAAGTTAGAACACAGGGATAGTGTAGAATTTGGAGGTAATAACAGTGGGAGCTCAGAGAGTAGAGATTCCACACAACAATAATAGTAAAAAATAGAACATATCTTCACCCCTGGTGAGAGCGGGGTCTTTATACACTGGCTCAAGTGGGTAGGTGGAACGGTCACTGAACCCCTGTTACGATGGGACCTGTCGCGTGTTAGGTGGTTGAAGCGCCATCAAATAGTAAACTGTCACTTCTCGTCAGAACGGGGAGTTGGTGAACTAATGTTACCGTTATAAGTATGGACCTGCGAGGTTCAGGGATGGGGGTGTATTCCTCGAGATGGCCATGCGGAGATCTGTATGGTAGATAGGCTACCTGTAGGATACTCATTAGCTCGGTAGCGAGCTTCTTGAGCTCGCGCTTTGGTCTATCCTTGCGAACGCCGAAGTGTCCTTGGGCCGAGGTGACCCCAGTTCGGAGCACTAGCATACCCGAGCTCGCTTTATACTGAGCTGGCTTGTGCCAAGTTGTCACTTGCGTCGAGTCACGTACACGCGTCGTCTGTCTATGAGGTCAGGCCAAATCACCCTTCATCAATTGTCCCCCACTCCCCGAACTAGGGGTCCTGACCTGGTGCGGGGAGTTCATGATGTGACAAGTGGATTTGGCTCAGAGTTTAGGCTGATCTGGGACGGGCCCCGTGCGATTCACGCGCGGACGTCAGGCAATCTTATAGGCTCTGCGGACACCAAAAAACGCGCTAAATTGATTTCGGTCTCGAGGGTCGTGCGGCCGGTTTTCTTAGGAGCCGTCAGATTGCTTTAATCTTGATCGTTACTTTCTCGGCACAGTGGCTATAAATAGTGTCACCCGGGACCCATTTTCCTTTGGCAAAAATCCATCAGCTCTTATCTTGAGGTCGCCCTTGCTTCTTCAGCTTGGATTTTCCCAGTTCGTCGTTCCCTCCTAGTCAGGTCGTCCACCTTTGGTGAGTCTCCCTTCGCTTCTTCTTTTCTTTCAGTTTTATCTCTATGTCGCCTTCTAGTTCCGATGGCCCTTTCGACGAGGGCAGCTCGTGGCCCTTCTGAAGCACAGACTCCTCGAGAGGCCCAAGAGGCCTCGGGTGGTCAGGCATCCACCTCTAGCCAAGGTGAGGAGCCAGACAACTTCGGTCCTTCAACCAAGACCTCGGACCGACTTCAGGCCCTAGTTCACCAGTACCACCTCCCGAGGGAGTTCTCCTATAGCCTTCCTCACGGTAACTTCCCTTGGGAGCACGATCATAATGAGATTGTGTTTTTTGAAGAGCAGCTCGCGGCTGGTCTTCGTTTTCCGTTACATCCTTTGATCATCAAGGTCCTAAAGTCCTTTAATATAACCATAGATCAATTGCACCCGAGCTCTGTCCGTAATGTGGTAGGGACCATTTCGCTCTTTTACAAGTACTGTCTTCCCCTTGACCTCGACACCTTTTCCACTATCCTATCCATCAAGAAAAACTCCTCCTGCATTCTTCCCGAGCACAGGCGAACCTACTACCTATCTCCTCGCTCGAGGTACAAGCTATTGTACAAACTTCCTAACAAGATTCCAGCCTGGAAACGGGGTTACTTTGTAGTTTGTAACCCCGAGGGGTGGCCCTTTTTGACCCAATGGAGGCCGGCAGTCCAGGTACCCGGTGTTAGGCTGGGCCTGAAGACGAGAGAGATGCTTAAGTCTTGGGCGGAGCTCGGCTTCCTCTGCTCGAATTACCTTGCTGAAGACAAGCTTGTGCAGGGCGGCTTGAGTCCTGGTAGGTCGTATTGGGTTTTACTTTCTAGAGATCCGGATCTGTTCGTGACTAATCTTACCTTTCATTTTTGGCAGATACCATGCCGATCAACGCTAAAAGCCTTCTGAGGAGCTCCCAGAAGGGGAGAAAGAGAGGTGCCAAGAGACCGCGTCCGGAGGCCGAGCAATCTCCCGAGGTTGT